ATCATCGATAATGACATCCACTGAATATGTATATACGTATGCATAGAACAAGATATATGAATTTCATTCAAATAGATATTTTTTTAATGTGAATTATCTAGAAAAACTACTTGGAATCATATAGTGATTATCATTCAAAACAGATTAAGATGTTTTTTTTAGATATAAATTATATAGTTAACTTCGATATTGATGAAAATATTGTCTAAACATATGATGATGTTTTTATCGACATAATAGAAGAATAAACAAAAGTGACATCCTCGATGACATTTCTTTGTATGACGTAGATGTCAAGTTCTTTCTTTTTTTTATTTGAAATAAAAATTAAACATTAACATCATTAGTATTAGTATTATTATTATTATTATTAACATCATCATTATTATTATTATTATCATTATTATTATTATTATTAATATTATCGTTCTCTTCATTTTCTGAACAATTTTCAGTTTTATTTATTGCTCTACCATCAGCATTAGTTTCAATAATTTGTATTAATTTTCTATGTTGATGTCTATAATGTTGTCGTTCTTCTGATATTGTTGTTGCTAAAATAACTGTTATACGGTACCATTGAAGTATAATAATAAGACCATTTTTTGATGTAAAAAATACAGTTGAATATGAGAATATACGATAATGAAATAAAAGTATGGCACGAAATGTAAAAAATGGTATATCTTGAAGAAATAATGACACTAACATTCCCCAAAAATCTGATGGACTACAAAGAAATCGTCGTTCTTGTTCTTGTTCTTGTTTTAAAATTAGACGATTCTGTCGACCACGTGATACAGTAAATGCAAGACAAAATTGTAATAAACTTAATGTCCAAAAAAGTAAAACTAAAATACTTAATGTTATATTTGTTCGAACCTTCAGTTAATAAAAAAAAAAAAAACGTTAGTTTTAAATACGTTTATTTAGTTCAATTCATACTTTTTTCTCCTTAAATACTTCAAAAAATTCAACTATATCAGCAGCAATACCAATATAAACCTATGAAAAAATAAAAGAAAAAAAAAACAAGGAATTCATATTTGATCATAATTATTGTTCTTTTTCTTTTGTTTACTAATAATAATTGTGAAAGTTCTTCACGAGTTAATTCACCTTTTGGTAACAACCAACGACTTAGAATAAGTACAAGTAAAGTCGTTTGTTCAATAATCATATGCCAATCTGCTATTGATAAATGTGTATTTAACTAAAAAATAGTCAATAAGATTTTCTTAGATAGTAGAAATGGTTTTCCATTCGAAGAGTTTTAATCAAATTCATATTATCTCTTATCTGATTTCCATTTTGTTCTAACAAATAATTGAATTATTCTATGATTAATTCTTTTATAAGAACGGAAATGATGTTTATAGAAAATATTTTATGATCATATGAACTATGTTTCTTTCTTACTAAACTAATCTATATTTTCTTAATCATTCTTGAAGGAAATCAACGAGATAGTCACACAACCATAATTTTACTATTAATAATTCAGTCAGCAGTGTCACATTGAATAGCAAATAAACGGAAACCATTCTGGCAGGAAATAATGGCCTCTATCATCGCTGCTATTATATGGAGCTAGCAAGCGATGCAAAAAATTTGCCAGTTTATATCTGTAAAGCAACTAAAACCTTTCAATTTGATTAAGCTAATCACTGTTTGAAAGGCTTTTTTTGTCGTGGAATAAAAGAATTTCTCAATAAATGACTAAGAAAGTTGAATTCCTCTTGAAAATAATCAAAAACAAAAACGATCTTCCTATCGTTGTTGTCACTAAAAATCATCATGAATTGATTTTTAAAATAGATTTTACTTTTGACATAAATTCTTGTGGTGTTTTGAGAAATTTTTCCAATGTTAAGTCCTCTGTCTTCGTTATTGGTAATACTGTTGAATTAATATGTTTTTTCTTAGCTGCTAGTGCACGTTGATTTATCATTAATTTTTCTTTTGAATCACTAATATCTCCATCAAAATCAACTCTATATCGATTAGCTAAAGATTTAAATTCAAATCGACGTTGATTTTTTAATGACATTTTTGTTTGATTTGATAGTAGTAATGATGAACGAAAACTATAATTTAATTCTAATAACCATATACAAGGTACAATGGCAATTAAATAAGCAAATGCTGATGAACAAAACCTTTTGTTTAAAAAAAAAAAATCAATAAAAATAAAAAGACAAACATGTTTTCTTTACCATTTATTTTCATATCCTTTTCGTCTATAAACCATTACATAAGTTTCAATAAGAAGAAAAATAAGTAATAAAAGTAAATACCAATAATAAACTTGTTTTGTTTCTTCGACAAGACGCCAAACAGTAACTATAGTTGAAAGAATAAATATAATACGAACAAATATTGCTTGAATAATTGTACATGATTCTTCAATTAATTGTATTAAATGTTGACAACGTTGAGAAGTTTTTATTTTATTTGCTAATGAATATCGATTTGAATCTGTCGATAAAGAAAGACTTGATCCATGATGATATTCATAAATATTTTTTTGCTAAAAAAAAAAATAACTAAAATTTTTCTTGTTAATTAAAAATAATTCCTACTTACTAATATATCAATACTATGACGAACACGTCCCAATGGAACAAGCATTTTGATTTTTTTTTTTGGATAATCAACTATTCAAATATCTAATCGATCTACATTTTTTTTTTATGTTTTCTTCTCAGCATGAGAATATTTATTTTTGAAAACATTTATTCAGCATAAGAAAAAGACACAGTAGGATATAACCAGAAATTCATTAGAAGATTAAAAAAAATTATTAGTTGTTAGCTGTTTTTCTTTTGTTCTTATATAATAATAGATTTCATTTATTATTTATTAGATTAAATAAATTCAAGTGATAAAACAACAACAACAAAAAAATAAAGTCGAACAACAATATCTAAATTGCGAACAATAATGAAGCCAATTATCAGAAAACAGTTTATCAAATTATACTATTCTCATTTGTATTAGATTTCTAAATTGTGATCATGTTGATTACATGTTCTGTTCTATTGATAATATAAGAGCGAAACCATGTCGCACTATTGCCAATCAGAGAATGGCTAATCAGTTAAGTTTCAAACTATCGACAGTTTTTATTCCATTCAAATTACATGGATACAAAGTAAAAGTCATATTATATTTTAAACTATGAATACAAATTTTACTTTCTCCACACATGAAAAGGCCATTTTATACAATAATTATTTATATAGATTAAGACGTGACAATTAGAACGATTCACGAGGGACGGTTCCCAACTGATCAATGCCATTTTCAATGATATTTTATCTATATGTTGGGAACAGTATTTTAAGAAAAATCCTAAGAGGATTTGTGCCCATGGATCTTCCTTCGAAGGTTATGATTATTTTACTGATTTTTCCATCTAATACAAGGTATGTAGAGAAGAATTGAACAACGGAATTTCAATCTGAAATTTTGCTCATATGTAGTTCTTGTGATCATTATAACACTCTAAAATTTTCAGTGGAAAAAACTGTTTTCCTTCTGGAGATATTGATTCTTAAAAACTTGTCTCATTATCTATAAAGTTCTGAAAGATTAACTTTTTTAAAAATTGAATATCTTCAAAAGAAAACATTTTTTTTCCACTCAAACTTTTAGAGCGTTATAACGACCACAAGAACTACATATGAGCAAAATTTCAGATTGAAATTCCGTTGTTCAATTTTTCTCTATATACCTTGTACTAGGTGGAAAAATCCGTAAAGTGATCATAACCTTCGAAGAAAGACCCATGAGCACAAACCTTCTTGGAATACTGTTCCCAACATATAGACAAAATATCATTGAAAACGGCGTGAATCAGTTGGGGACCTTCCGTCATCAGTCATTTATGTCTAAAGTTTCAAATCTTGTTTTCGTGAGATTACTTAAAAAATAATGTAATTATCAAATCATAATCCTGATCACAAACAATCAGAAAATGTTCAAACTATATTATCCGGTTTGAAACAAGGACTGAACATAGGTCAGAGTGAAAGTTCAGAAACAACCCACATTCGAACACTTTTCTGTTCATTGATTTCATTTTTGTTCGCAATTTGAAAGCTACGAAAAGAATGTTCATTCAGCTCAGTTTGACATAAATTTTTTATTTACGATTATTTAGTTTCCATTTGACTGTGATAACCAACGCAACATAATATCTGCAAAATAGTTTGTTAGTAAACGTTGATTCCTGTCTTAAAACAAATCTAAAGTTTAAAATTGATGCTGAACAAGTTTATATCCAAAATAATGATAATCTTATACATTCGTCGTTGAAACATATGGCCTCTCTGTTTTTTTTCCAAGAAGTATGATCATTTAAATTGCTTATACAATTTTTTTTTTGTAATAAAAATCGAAAATCTAATTTTTCATTTTCTTGAGACTCCTAAAATTGAATCTTTATCTTTCAAAAACGTTTTTTTTTCGTTTAACATGACATTTGAAGTGAGTAGTTCGTCTTTCTGAAAATTTAAAAAACATCACTTGTCTTTATTTTTTTTGTAAAGCTGCTATTGTATTTAACCATTTGATAAGTTGATGCCCTTTTCAAATAATTCAGTATACATATCCTAAAGTATGATATGAAAAATGAAACAAGATCAAAATGATTTCATACGACATTGGTTTTGTTATATGAAAAATTTTGATTGGTGAATTGATGAATAATTTGTTTTATTGACTGAGAGTTAAACATCTTATTTGTTCAAGAACCATTAAAATGATAAAGAATTTTTAATCTAAACATTTGAAACTTAGCTCAAAACATAATTTATTTTTTCAAAAAAAATTTATTATTCAATAATTTATTGATTACAAATGAACTAAAATATTATTTGATTACCTTTTATGGTTCTCATAATGATCTGTCGTGGTGAAACATACGCACAGAAAGGAGTAGATAAATCAATAAAATTCTATTTGAAGAAAAAAAGTAAATAAAAACAAAAATTAACTTATGATGATTTCTGCTTTTTTTTTCCTTTTTGAATATTTGTATTTAATGGTGCCAATTGACATATACGTTTGACTTAATCCGCAAAATTTAAAAGAAAAAAGAAAACAAAGAAAAAACAGAATTCATGATATACATGTTTACCATACATAACTCATTCGTCCGGATTTGATAATAATAATAATCTTTGTTCAGGCACATTGCCTATATATATATAGATATATACATACATACACATATTTTTTCAGACTGCTTTATTAAACACTACAACATATCTGATAAAGTTACGAAGAAAAAATTAAAACAAAAACAAGAAAGTTCATTCACCGAATGATAGAAATGTTTGCTTTGTTAAATTGACTTACACAAGGAAGACAATAATTGGTATATTTTGTTCATTGTCATCACTAAAGTTCATATGTTATAAAACCGAAGTGTCCAAAAGAAAAAAAAATGTATTTTTTTTTGTTTTCTTTCAATACCTGGATGTTACTTTAACAGAATTGAGTTCACGAAGAAATTGTAATACATCATTATCATTTTTTATATCATAACATTTATCCATAAGACTTGTAGATTTTTTAATTATTGGTTGAATTTCATGATCATCAGATGATAATTTTCGTTTGTTGGTATCGATTGTTGAAAGTGGTGATAATGAACATTTATATGTTTGATTAGTAGAAGAAGAAGAAGAATATGAACAATCAGAATCTAATAAATCACATACAAGTGTATATGTTCGTTTAAGTAAAACTTGTTTATATAAAACTTGTGAACGTTCTCGACGAAGTTGTTTTTGTTTTGTTGTTGTTAATTCAAGAATATTTTGAGCTTCAGAATAATCAATACGTGAAACAAGTGGATTTGAAGAAAATGATAAGCATTCATTTTGTCGAGGCATTGTTGTTTTTTTTTGTCTTTATTGTTGCAGTTTTATCAATCAATGTTAGACAGAAGAATTTAACATAGCAACTATTGCGCGTTGTGAAATAATTATTTATTGACTTGAATAAAATACATCGACATGGAGGATAATTGATCAATATGGCGATATTGAACTTTTTCTTATTAGAATAATGATAAATAAAGTTTTTAAAATTTTTTTAAAATCTATTTTTATATAAATTTATTTGGAAATTTCCAGATTTTGCTTTTTTTTAGCGACATCTATAGAATTGAATCTTTCTTACAACAGAATTGTTTTTTTTCAGTGAACATTCACTTTTCTTTTTTACTGAATATTACTTGTGAGAGTTGAATAGAAATAGTTTCATTGAATATTTTAGAACCAATAGTTAAGAGCAACATCAGCCGGTGTTTTTACGAATAATTAAGCATTGGATATCAAAATGAAATATCGGTCGTTTGTATATATATTGCTATCATTCTTTCATAAAATTGTGGTCGACAATCATACAAAAGAATGAATAGTAGCATATGGATACAACTTGTTACACTAATTGTTTGTATAATAATAGTTGCATGTAAAGATTATTATGAGATATTAGGCGTAAAACGAGATGCTAGTGATAAAGAAATTAAACGACGTTTTCGTCAATTAGGTATGAAAATACCATTTTTTAGAAAATGTTTTTCTTTGGTAAAAATATTTAATTTAATTTTTAGCTTTAAAATATCATCCAGATAAAAATAAAGATCCAAAAGCTGAAGACAAATTTCGTTCCATAGCTGAAGCATATGATATATTAAGTGATCCAACTAAACGTGAACAATATGATTGGCACGGTCATGAATCATTTACATCATCAAATTCAAATCATTATTCAAATTTTCATTTTAATATGAATGATTTTTTTCAACATTTTGATTCAGACTCATCTAATTTTTATCAAGCTGATCATAATCATTTTGGTTTCAATTTTGATTCATTGTTTGATGATGAAGATGATAGTTATGAAACAGATTATTATTCTAATGGAAATTATTTTGATTTTGGTGATTTTGGTAGTGATTTATTTGATAGAAGTGATAATATGTATGTTCACACATCGGATTCTTCTCAACGACATTGTCGAACGTATACAACAAGACAAGGAAATACAGTATCGACCGTAACAGAGTGTTCTTAAACTTATGTTCATGATTTTTATTGTATTTTATTTTATTTATCTATTTTGTCTTTAAAAAAAGGATTTATCTGTAGATAAACATAAATCTTTTTGCAAATAACAATCTATCTTATTATATGTCTTTTTCGAATCTTATTAATTTAAATCCTGATCTATATTCCAGTGTCATAAAATATGTCATGATTTTAAAAAAGTATGATTCGGTATGAATCGATCTTCAGGCATCACTCTCGATTAGTCTAATCAAATAAAAAAGTCACGACGAATAATATCCTTTTAAAGTAAACTAACCTTTATCACGATGTCATTATTAATATAGCATAAGAAAAAACACACATGACTATGAGCGTGGGTGGAGAAAAATAATATAAAAATTTGCTTTAAAAACAATATTAATCTGTTTGTAACATGTGAAAAGGATTAATATAAGATAATTTTATCATGAAAATGTACTTACGATACAAATAGATAGTTTCAGGTACGTTTTTTTTAATTATATTTTAATAAAAATTCATTTTTGTAATTTTTCGATTAAATAGTAATTTATTTGAATTATTAATATTCAACATAATAGCAGAAGAAATTTTTTTTTTCGCTTTTGAAAGACACAATTCAAATTATGTTTTTTAAACAGTTAGTCAATGTCTTTGTTTTATCATTAGATTAATTTCCTTGTAATCTTTATGTTAATTTATCGTTTCTTTTTTACTGTATGATTTGATGGCATAGGTAACTGTAAATCATTCTTTTGAGATGGTGAAGGTAAATTTGATGGTGTAGTCGGTTTAAAGTACATTGGTGAAGAAAATATCATATCCAATGATGTTGGTGTTTGAACCGATGGTGATAAAGGTGTTCCATAAATGTATCGATGTTTTTGTTTTTTACATATTTCATTTGCTTTTTTTTGATGCCATCTATTCATAAGTTCAGCATGACTCATTGGACGTTGAATTGAATTGATACTACTTTGAGTAATTGATGAAATTATAGATGATGGAGTTTCTGGTGAAATATCTAATTGTTCATTTGGACTCATTAACGTTTGTGATATACCAGTAATATAACGTTCAGCTGGACTTTGAGGATAAGTATTATTTAAATATATTGGTAATGTTAAATGACGACGAATATTTGATTTTTGTTGATTTGTTGAATCTATAGGCGTTGGTTGAGATAATGAACTTTGAAATCTCGTTCTGTTTAACAACAACGAAAAAAAAATGAACTAATCATTTTTTTAAAAATTAAATTTATTTACGATGACACTTGTTGCTTGGTTGATGACGTAGGTTCTTTACGTGTAGATATTGTATTTCGTTGTGCCATTGAATTGATATATTATTTGAAGACCGTGTATACCAATCAATTCTGTATATGTATGCAATAATGATTGGAAAGAAATCGAATATAATCCCTGAATATGTTTTTTTTTTCTTCTAATATTATGTTAATTATGTAGTATACATCGAGAGAGTATATTTGTTTATGTAAAAAGAAAATTTAAGTTTTTTTGATGTACATAGTTATTTTTATTTTTTTTGTAAGGATTCACTCGTTTAAGATGGATGTAGATATTCAGTTGTAATTCTAACCTAATCAAATATAAAGAAATAAAAAGCGATTAATGTAATGTAAAAAAAAACATGTCTATACTTTGGTTTATATATTCTTTTGATATTAACGATAGCTAGGATTATTCCCTTATCTTGTTGTGGTGCACTCTGTGTTGTTTCTACTACATATTCATCATTGTTTTTATCGCTGGATTTTATTGACTCATGTTTCAATGACGACATATATTTTTTTTTTGCTTTCATTTTCTATGAGCAATATTTGCACTTGTCTGATGTATTATGTCATAATGGCTCTTTTTAATTTTCTGCTATTATAGAGAAGTGATGCGTGGTATTTAACTGTCATCGAACGTTTTTTTTTTTCGTCGAAAGAATAAGGGAAAAAAAAAGAAAAAAAGAAGTAATAAATATTAGTGATGTATAAATATCATAAAATACATGGAAAGATTTTCATATTTAATTGGGCATGTACACTATCGGATACTTTATATATATACAGGGTGGCCCAAAAGTCACGCACCGGAAAAGAAATTGAATATCTCCATGACGGCTCTAGCAAACTGGCTGATTTTTTTACCACTAGTAAACGCATATTTACACTCCATATCCATAAAGACAAGGCGAGAGTGAGTCCTTTTTTTAAATGTCACTATTGACTTTAACCAAAAAATTTTAATTTTTCACAGATGGAAAAAGAACAATGTAATGGATGGCGCAAAAGTCACTTTACCGAAAAAAAGTTGAATATCTCCATTACGGCTCGAGCAAACTAGCTGATTTTTTTATCAATGCTAGAGGCATGTTCAAGATTTATATCCATAAAGACATGCCTAGAGAGATCCTTTGTTAAGTATGTTGTTTTTTTTCATCTGTAAAAAAAAGTAACATTTTTTTGTTGCGATTAATAGTGATACTTAACAAAGGACTTCTCTAGGCATGTCTTTCCGGATATAAAGCTTGAACATGCCTCTAGCATTAATAAAAAAATCAGCTAGTTTGCTCTAGCCATAATAGAGATATTCAATTTTTTTCGGGTGCGTGACTTTTGGGTCACCCTATATATATATATATCGATAATAAAACATGTGCATAAATAATTCAATTTTTTTTAAGATTGATTGACATTATAAAAAGAAACAATTAGTATAATAGTCGTTTGATATATAACTATACTTTCATTTCAATGAATTGTTATTTAAGTTTTTAGGTATGTGTATTAAAAATCACTAATCTACTAAATCAGTACTGTGAGAATTATTTAATCATTACCATTTATTAAGCAATAGGATTGTCAGTCAAGGTCAACACGTTCTATCCTTACATTTCTTCTCAAAATAACTTTCTCTATTGCATTTTATTCCTATGACGAGTTATATTCTTTACATAATTATGTCATGTATTTTGAAGTGAATAAAAACATAATATATGGAGTGGATATTTATTTGCATGACTATGAGAAGCTACCTACGTACTTTCAATATGTAAAACAGACATTAACAGTATCAAACCAAACACATACTCATTCTAACTAAAATACGAACGATGCGTTGTTTTTTTTAATATAAGTATAGGTCACAACCATGGGGAGCGTGTTTTATCGGTACCTTGTTAGAAAAAAAAAAATTTCTCATGTGCACGGTGGAAATGTTCTTTTCCTCTAGTTAAGTTTTCTGCCTCAAATAACACAATGACAGTCTCCGAGAAAGCATTTTTTAAAAATCTATTCGGATTAGTTCAATGAGTCATTATTAACTTGTTGTTCGAATCGCATAGAGCAGTAATATATTAGTATTATTTTCTTTCAATAAACTTTTCAAATGTCTACGTCTTCCAGAATGTTGAGTATTTGATTTGATCATTTCCGTTAGAAATTTTTTGTCTGGGTAAATTATTTTTTATTGATTCTTGTCCATGCTTCATTTTTTTATTTTATTAATTCAATACTTGTCCACAATTTGTAGGAAGAAAAAGAAAAGACAAAGCAGCTTGAAAACATAATATAAAAAACAACGTCAATACCTTTACATTGTACTGATTATATCAAACCAAAAGTATATTACGTTTTCTTTTTACGCCGATTATGGACAGAGCAATAGTCAAATATTGTACCACATGTGAAGAACCTGCTGGATTTTATTGTAATGGATGTCATAGAATATTTTGCCAACATCATTCTTACGAACATCAACAGTCACTTTATGAACAACTTGATTGGTTAACTGTTGATCATGATGATTTTGTTCATACACTAAATAATACTGAGTCAATCACACAGAGACATTATTCATCAAAAAAAATTATTGATAAATGGGAAGAAGAATCCATAAAATATATTCGAAAAACAGCAAATGAAGCTCGACATGCACTTATTGATGCCATAAAAGATCACACTAATGAAGTAAAAACAAAATTAAAATTATTAACAGAAAAATTACATGAGGTAAATAATAATAATGATAATAATAATAATAATAATAATAATAATAATAATAATAATAATACTTTTGATGAAAGACATATAAAACAATGGTCAACAAAATTACGTAAGCTTAAACATGAATTTATTGCACAGCCGAAATTTACTGTACGTATTCATGGCAATAAACCTGTTGTAATGCCGATTATAAAAATTCAACCTGATCCTATATTTGAAAATCATTCGAATGAACAACAATCATGTTCATTGGGTTTAGTTCCTTTTAAAAATTCTA